TACATGGCTGGTGCCTTAGCCACTTGAGCCACAGGCGCGAAGCCGTAGTGTTTACTCTTGTGTCTTAAGATTGTGTTAATAGGCTAGGCACCTGTCATTGTTGTTTGGCGGGCCTGGGCTGGATTCGAACCCACCACCTTAGGTGTATGTGGCCGGTGCCTTAGCCACTTGAGCCACAGGCGCTCAGCCGACTTGGAGAGTTTTAAGAACATTTCCAAAGTTGTGCAGGTGGAAGTGGCGGAGCCAAGAGCAGAACCCAAGCTGTCCATCTCTTTTCAACCCATCATCTTATTGCTTCTCCCTCATTTAATAGAAATGAGTTGCTGGTACAGTTAAAGAAACCTACAAAATCTTTCTCAAGACTATCTAATGTACTCATTGGCCATCACACATTTACAAACAGGAGTCATCTAAACTAAAAAGAAAGCCATTCCATTTTGTATGCTTTCTCAATAAAGAAACTTTCTGAGCTTATATTAGGTGCCCTACATGTTTAACAGTTTGGTGTATGTCAGGAATGATCTCTTTCCAGAGGAAGCTTAGAATCAAGTTTAGGAGATAAGGCAGACACACGTGAGGCCTTTGGTAAATGAAAGAATTTTATCATAATGTGTTATTTGTCCAGTACTGCTGTGGTCACAATGGGGTGCAGTTAGGTGAAGTAAGGAAGAGAAGTCAGTGTGTGAGAAGGAGGCACAGAGCAGGGAGGGCTTGTGCTGTGCTGTTAGGGTGCAGGGGGCACCAGTGTGGGAAGTAAAGTAGACAGGGCATCTGGGGGTAAAGAGAGGTAAGGCTGGATCATAGATGGCACAGCAAGCTTGCTGAATGGCTGAGACTTAATTTGATCAGTCCTAAACAGTGGAGTGATATTTAGGACAATTAATCTGGGAGCAGTGTGGCTGAATCAAATAACTCCTCCCCAAGGACACCCCCCCCCCAGTTACCTGTTCTAATATACGTATAATCCTTCTAATCAAGAGCACCTTATGAACACACACACACACACACACACACTATTCTCTGGTTACAGTATAAACCTATACCTAAGAAAGATGTTATTAGGTGGTCTTTTAAAAAATAGGAGTAGAAAATAACTGATTTTTTTCTTTTTAAAAATACTCCTTCAAGTCTTTGAAGAATTGAACATGAATATTAAATATCAGTCTTTTCACAGCCCTACAGTTCTACTTCTTGACTTTCATCACAAACCTTTTCTTGCCATCTCAGTAATTGTTTTTGTGACCATTCCTTGGATTTCCTCCAAGTTTCATACAATCCTCTTGAAACGCATAGATTGAAACTGGACATAATACCATAATAATGACCCGACCTCTGCAAGTAAAGCACCACAATTATATCTCAGTACTTTCATGCCACACATCCATTAAAATGTTCCAGAATTATGTTCGCCTTTCAAATATTCAAGTTACAGATATTTATATAATGACTGTGTATTGCTGGCTTATATCCAGCTTAGTGGTATACTGTGTTTCTCGGATTTTTAAAAATATTGTGTAGTCGTGGATATATTTGGATGTATATCACTATATCTTCATGACAGATATTAAATGCCTACTGGTATTGAAATAGGGAGTATTTAAAGAAAATTATATTTAGTTTTTATTTTTTTATTTTTTGAGACAGAGTCTCACTTTGATACCCTGAGTAGAGTGCCGTGGCATCACAGCTCACAGCAACCTCAACCTCCTGGGCTCAGCCATTCTCTTGGCTTAGCCTCCTGAGTCTCTGGGACTATAGGCACCCGCCACAATGCCTGGCTATTATTTTATTTTTCTTTTTAAATTCATGTGCTCCTCCATGTAAAAAGCATTAATAACTTTTTGCATTTTAAATGTAAATAGTCTTGTGCTCTGCATCTTAACAAAGCTTGTCATTGAGAGCCACCTCCCACATCTTTTTCTTGTAGATTGACATATTTGAGGATAGGATCCGAGGCATCGACATCATTAAATGGATGGAGCGCTACCTTAGGGATGTAAGTACCTTCCAAAATTCTGAGATTGTTTTCTGGTGAGAATGACAATTAGCTTATGAAGGTGAAGTTATTTTTTGAAAGAAGCACTGGCATACCCTCCTGAGTCCAAAGATGAGAAAGCCCCAACAAAGCCTCCCTTGTTGGAAGCCGTGCAGAGACGTGGAAAGGAAGGATGGGGTCGCCCTCTTGGACGTGCACAGGCAGGAAATAACGATCAAACCAGACACAGGTGGTTGATAACAATCAGAGCAAACAATTTTTTTGACCAGAATAGGAAAGGAGGAAATGAAAACGGAGAGTGGGGAGACAGCAGCAGAATTCAATTTAATCCTAGGCCACCCCAAGTGTTTTGTAGGATTGGGCTGAAGAGGTTTCCTGGGCAGCCTCGCAGCCTGGGCAGCCACCACCCCCGAGGCGCCCACTTGCAGCCCCGTGATTTGTTCTCCACTGACAGAATCCATACCTGCCACTGGGACACTTTGTGCTTTAACAAGATAGACATTGATTGCTGCCAGCTTGTTGGAGTCGGCCGCTTCTTTCTGAGGGAGCCGGTGGGAAGCAGGAGTCTCAGCAGGCCCGGGTTTTGCAGCTTTTCCTTTTATCTGCAGCCTGATGTTTGCTTTGTGCTGAAGGGTCTGTTCCTACCCGGTACCCACGGAAAGCTGGGCAGTCCGACTGCAGTGACTGACAGCTCGGTCCAGCTGCGGGGAGAGGGGTTTTCATGGCTGGTGTGGCAGCACCTTTTTGCCATGATGCAGACTCACTTAGTGATTCATTAGCTAGAGCTTTCATTAGATATTTATTAGGGATGAGTATGGAAAATGGTGGCAAAAGCACATCTATTCAGGAAAGCTCCTCTCTGAGCCATTTGCTCTGCGTTTTTGAGGAGAGCTGGGCAGGAAGAGAGAGGGGAGAAGCAGAGACAAAAGTCTGCCTGGGTAGGGGCCAGTGCCTTTCACTTTCCAGGGAGAATGAGCCTGGCCTTTCATCCTTGAGTGTGCCAGAGAACGCCCACAGTCCTGCTGGCCAGTTTCCAGCCTGCCGTCACCAAATGGACCACACTTTACACTTCCATAAACATGCTTTTCTCCCTCTCATTAACAGAAGACAGTGATGATAATCATAGCAATCAGCCCCAAATACAAACAGGATGTAGAAGGCGCTGAGTCGCAGCTGGACGAGGACGAGCATGGCTTACATACTAAGTACATCCATCGGATGGTGAGTAGGGAGGGGACCACAGCACCTCACTGTGCCCCAGGGGCACTTGTGTGGTCAAGCCTTGTTCTTCACAAGATGACTGGAGGCCGCAGGATGCTGGGAGAAGAGCCCTAGGCCAGCCAGGAGACGGGATGTTGGTCCTAGCTCTGTTACCTGTGGGATTGGGACTAGTCACTGTACCTCTGGGCCTCAGGGTTCCTGCAGTGACAAGGGGAGACCAATCTGTGATCTCTAAGATGCAAGATTCTGGAGAGCACTGCTTGTAGCTGTGAGGTCCTAGGAAGGCAGAGATGGGGCTGTGGGGGCAGGCTCCCACAGACAGATCATACTCTGTCCCTGCCTTTTCAGGACAGTGGGGTGGCAGAGCGAAAAAGACACGTGCTCTTACATCATATGAGGTTGGTCCCAGTTTGGCTTCTTCATGTGCAGGCTGTGTGACCGTGGCCCAGTTGCTAAATTAAGTGTCTTTGTGCTCCAGTGTTGCTATTCATAAAATGGGTCACTAATGCAGTGTTGTTGTGAAGATTAAATGAAATAATGTTTGTGAAGTACCTGGCACACACTGGATGGTCAATCGACAGTAGGGATGGTTCTTAGCTCATGATAGATAGGGAACATTCCACTGCCACACTGGAACTATGGGGCCTGGTCAAATTAAAATCTGTGGGAGGAATTTATAGGATATTGGACTTGCTCAGCATCTGACAGAACATTCTGACCAAAAAATGTCAACCAGCTTTAGAAATGGCTGTTTTGTGGGCTACCAATCCCCCTGCTCTCCATGATCATAGAGACACTGGGGAGAGATTCAGCTTGATGAGGATACTGGAACAGACTTGTGAATCCAGATTGTTCTGGGGTCTCTAATGGGTACCCCTGTGGGTTCAAGGACCGGTTAGCCCTGGGCTTCCCGGCTCGGCACCTATAGCTCAACCGGCTAAGGCGCCAGCCACGTACACCTAAGGTGGCGGGTTCGAATCCCCAGCCCGGACCCGCCAAACAACAATGACGGCTGCAACCAAAAAATAGCCAGGCGTTGTGGCGGGCGCCTGTAGTCCCAGCTACTTGGGAGGCGGAGGCAGGAGACTCGCTTGAGCCCAGGAGTTGGAGGTTGCTGTGAGCTGTAATGCCACGGCACTTTACCCAGGGGGACAGCTTGAGGCTCTGTCTCAAAAAGGAAAAAAAAAAAAAAAAAAAAAAAAAAAAAAAAAAAAAGAAAGCCCTGGGCTTCCCACACCGGGCATGGTGGTACATGCCTGAGTCCTAGCTGTTCGGGAGGCATTCAGGCAAGAGGATTACTTGAACCTAGGAGTTTGAGGTTGCTGTGAGCTATGATACCACCACACTCTGGGGCCAGGGCCACAATGTGAAACTCTGTCTCCAAAAAATAAATAAATAAAACAAAATAAAAAGACTTGAAAAAATCACTGGGCTAGAAATTATAAGGTCCATTTGATACCTAACACTCCACAAGCAGGGGAGGGTACCTGAAATGGGCAGGAAGGGTCACCAACTAAGTAGGATGATGGAATGGGAAGCAGTCAGGCAGCCTGGGGACTTGCACCTTTATCTCAGGGAAAGCAGACTGAAGTCCCAGGTCTGTCCTGTGCATCAGAAACATAGGAAAAGGGAGTGGGTGGGTGAATGGATGTTCCTTATCAGAGTCTGTCTTTTTTTCCACCAATTGTGGACCACTTATTTGAACTCACAACCAACCATAAGCCAAAGCCAAAGTAAGGTGGTGAGGTTCAAAAGTAAGGCCAAGGATTCAGGAGATAGTCTATCTCCTATTCTAATCTCAACCAGTCTGACAGCCTACAGGCAGGGCCCATGAAAGGTACCATTTCTGGAAGTAAACTGCATTAAAAGGGCATGTCTGACCCTGGGTGCTGCCATCCCTGGGCTGTCCGCCACACATGTGCGTGGCCCAGAACACCCAACGTTCTATCTGCATCTCCAGGAACCTGCTGAGAACCAGGAGCTGAGAACTGGTATGTGAGAAGGACTCCAGGTCCCTTTCAGTTCCTGAGGAAACCTCTCTACCTCTGCTGGTGTGTGGCAAAGCCAGACCATAATATACAGCTCAAATTTAGAGCTTCTCTGACAGGACCAGCTTTATCTAGGTTGCCTCCAAACTTGGTTTCTTGGGCAACAATATCTTGGGCCTTTCTTCAGCTCAGCAGGGGACAGAAGAGGCTAGATACAGAAGTGCCTTCCTGCCCAGCCGGCTGACTTTCTGGACCCCTTAGGCAACAGAAAACCCTGAGACAGTAAGAACTTGGCCCTAAGCAGAGGGAGCCAAGAGGTACCCATGAGTAACTGCAGCACAGAGCCAACGACTTCACGGAAACCACTGTCTGGAAGAATCAGAGAAAATATTGCTGCACACCAGCTCCTCAGCAGACTGGGTAGCCCAGTAAACAAGCCAAAATTTACAGTAAGCAGTGTCTAGAAGTCAGAAACCAAACTCAGTTCTTCACTTTTTTTTTTGAGAGTCTCACTCTGTCACCAGGTCTAGAGTGCCCTGGCATCAGCCTAGCTCACAACAACCTCAAACTCCTGGGTTCAAGTCATCCTCCCACCTTAGCCCCTGGAGTACTGGGATTACAGGCACCCCGCCTGGCTACTTTTTCTATTTTTAGTAGAGCCAGGGTCTCGCTCTTGCTCAGGCTGGTCTAGAATCCATCCACCTCAGCCTAGGATTATAGGCATGAGCTACCGCACCCCACCCACTTTTAACTGATCAAGTCTATGCCTTTTCTTTTGTGTGTTTACTCTGTATGTCTGGTGCTTTTAGTTGCATAGTACTTGGGTCACTTTAAAATAGTTTTGGGTGGTGTCTTCTGAGGAAACTCCTTGTGGAGGATCTGTGTGTGTTGTGTGACTGTGAGTGTAGGTATCTGAGAGTACATGTTTTTGAGGGGTTTATATGGTGATTTCAATAACCAGTTGGCATCAGTGTCACTTTCTTCTCCGTTCTGCTTTTATTCCCATGCACAATGAAAACTTCTCAGTTATAAAAGTCAATTGGAAATTGAAATAGTTGGGAACACATAATTCCTCATCTCTCTGTCACCAGGTGACTGAAAGCCTTACGCTGGTCACAGGATTTGGAAGACTCTAACTTCCCACATATGAAAAATTCTGATTTTGACAGAGTTCTTGGCAGCTAAATCTTCTTGGGCCACACAGTGTCAGAGGGAACTGGAACTGGTGCAGGCAACCTAAAACCCAGCAGACAGTGCTCTTCAAAACTGACCCCCAGCCTCCTCACCTGCCTCTCCCCCAGGCCCATTCTGTGCTCTGACCACAATACACTAGCTGGTCCAGGCACTAGCTGGTCCTGCCCGCACGAACACACGTTCACGCCTCTGTACATTTGCTCTGCAGAGAATGTCTTTTCCCTCTCCCTGATTGTACCTACCTGAAAATCTCTTGTAATTGTGACCCATCTTTTTTGTAACTGTCCTTCCTGATGCAGAATGGATGGCCCCATCCTGTAGCATAATCCATTCTACAGCTCATACTTTTTTTTTTTTGAGACAGAGTCTCAAGCTGTCACCCTGGGTAGAGTGCTGTGGTGTCACAGCTCACAGAAGCCTCAAACTCTTGGGCTTAAGCTATTCTCTTGCCTCAGCCTCCCAAGTAGCTGGGACTGTAAGTGCCTGCCACAATGCCCAGCTATTGTTGTTGTTGTTGTTGCAGTTGTCATTGTTGTTTTAGCTGGCTCGGGCCGGGTTCACGCCCGCCAGCCTCCATGTATGTGGCCAGTGCTCTACCCACTGAGCTATAGGCACCACCCTGCAGCTCACACTTTTTACACTACACTCTGGTGGGTGCGTTCACCTTCCCACCTGCTCACTAGACTGCAGGCTTTGTGAGGACAGGGATGATGTTCTGCTAACCTGGTCTCCTGATTTATATGATTCACCCATCTCCACAATATAAATACTCTCACCATGGCCCATTTGAAGCCACTAATGTGAAGCCTCTGAGCATAGAATTGGGAAAAGATGCACACAACAGGCTCTCATGAGCTGATACAAGCCAGTTCTTAGTACACCCTCATCCTTAAAACCCAAGTCCAGCACAGGGTATGACTTTTCATAGGCCATCAATAAAAGACTGATAGGCTCGGCACCCGTAGCACAATGGTTATGGCACCAGTCCGAGGCTGGCAGGTTTGAACCCAGCCTGGGTCAGCTAAACAACAATGACAAATGCAACAAAAAACTAGCCAGGCATTGGGAGGCTGAGGCAAGAGAATCTCTTGAGCCCAAGAGTTTGAGGTTGCTGTGAGCTCTGATGCCATGGGACCCTACTGAGAGTGACATAGTGAGATTCTATCTCAAAAAAATAAAAAAAAAAATAGAAATAAAGGACTGATAAATGAGTGAATGGCATACATGTATAATGAGGAAGGCTTAAAATTACAAGTGTGTGGTGCTCACATAAGGAAATCGGAATGAAAATACCACGTGGGTTTGCATGATTATGGCTCCCATTAACTGCTTCTCCTCATTCCTGAAGTTAAATCTTCATATCTGTTTGGTTTCAGATGCAGATTGAGTTCATAAAACAAGGAAGCATGAATTTCAGATTCATCCCCGTGCTCTTCCCAAATGCTAAGAAGGTAAACAAACAAACAAAACCCTCGTAATTCAATCTTCGGTTTATTTGCCATCTGGATTTTGAGTGGAAAACCTTGTCAACTCCTCATCAATCCTTAGAGATAACAGTGTAACCAGAAAGGTCAACAAGTTGTACTATTCAATCCAGCAGCATGAATCAGAAAGGTTTTAAAGTGTTATCTGATAGGATCATGCTGTCCTAATTGTTCAAACAGCCACTGCACACAAAGAGGTAGTTTGTGTTTTAACTCATGAGAGAAAAAGAGAATGTTCATCTGATACTTCTTATCTCTTGTACATAAAAGTCAAGACTTCTAGATTTTTTGCTGGTTGTTCCACAAAAGTATTTTGTTGCACGTAGTTCAGCTCTTAAAGCTATAGATGACAGGAACTTAATCTACACCATGACCAGAGTGAACTTTGCTGTGGTTCAGATGAGAGTTTTTGCACCGGAAGGGTATGAGGGCAAGTCTGGAGAATGGGGGCCAACCATCGAAGACCATTTTCCAGGCTTAGCAAAGAGTCGGGGTGGGGGTGGAATAAACACCTGAGAGTCAGACCACAGGGCCCATCTTCATTCTGGAGGCATCCCTAGATAATAGGATGGCACTGAGACTTCTGCCCTTGATAAGGGAGGGTCCAGTTTTGTTTTTTTTTTTCTTTTTTTGAGATAGAGCCTCAGCTGTCGCCCTGGGTAGAGTGCCATGGCATCACAGCTCACAGCAACCTTCAACTCCTGGGCTCAAGTGATTCTCCTGCTTCCGCCTCCCAAGTAGCTGGGACTACAGGCACCCACCACAATGCCTGGCTATTTTTTTTTTTTTTTTTTTTTTTTTTTGGTTGCAGCCATTATTGTTGTTGGCGGGCCCGGGCTGGACTCAAACCTGCCAGCTCAGGTGTATGTGGCTGGCACCTCAGCCACTTAAGCCACAGGTGCCGAGCCAGGAGGGTCCAGTTTATGTGAATGGGACACCTGTGGTTGTGTGGTGTACAACCTGAACAACAACACACCTTTCTATCTTTCCTGCCCCTCCCTCACCTGTGCTCCCTTACTGACTCCCTACTGGTCTCTGTCTCCACTTTGACCTTGTATTGGCCATCCTCTGCTCTACCATCCATGAAGAGCATTCCAAGTATAGATGTGGTATGTCTCTCTTCAGCTTAAAATATGTATAGTGTTTCTCTACTGACTGCACGACCATATCTATCATTCTTAGCATGATCCATGAGGCACCTCAGAAGATGACCATGCCCCCGGCTCCATCTTCTCTCGTATCATCTGCAGAGATGTTCTATGTGGTGGTCATACCGACTACGTCAGCACATCCTCACACACGCTATCTTTTCATGTGTCTCTGTGCCTTTGCCCTTCCTGTTCCCTCTGCTTGTAGTACCTTTCCCTACTTGTTGCCAAGTGACTGTTGCTTTTTCTTATGTTATTTAATCTCTCTAGCCTCCCCTGACACCTTTCTTCCCCTGAGCCAGTCAGTATATGTCATTGTCCTTCTCTTGAGAGTTCTTAATTATAGAACCTTGAGTCAGTGGTATGTGGTTGGTGGTATGGACACTGGGAATAATTGTTTGGAATTACTGGAGTATGGTGATATAAAAAAACAGACCAACTTTTTGTTGGTTTTATTATTATTCTTTTAATTTCCTTCAGACAATCCCCTTACTGCCTGAGCTCAGGGGAGACCGTTCTCACCTCGTGCCCCCTTGGGACAGCATTGCCTAGCGAATAGTTTCTTTACATTTTTCTTCCATCGTGAGATTTGGGGCCCTCTAGGCTGGTACTGTGTCTGTTTCATGTGGGTATTTTCAGTACCCAGCAGGATGCCTGGCATGTAGCCAGGGCTGCTTCTAAGCTCACCTGACAGCCCCCAAAGGAGTCTCATCTCAGAGTAAAAACCATAGGCCTTCCAGTGACAAGGTGCTGTCTGAGACAGGCCCATCTGCTCCCAGGCCTCCTCCCTACCCACTCTCATTCACTCTGCTCTAGCCACATGGGCCTTGCTGCGTGTGAGCAGACTTGGCACACTCTCACCACGGGGCCTTTGCACTGGCTCTTCTCTATGTACTTGGACCCAGACAATCACAAAGCATCTCCCTCTGCTGTCTTAGGTCTTTGCTCATTTTCTCTGTGAGACCTTTCCTAAACACCCCGTTTAAAACCACAAACCCTTCACCCCTCACCCAGAACTCCCTATCCCCTTTCTCTGTTTTATTTTTCTCCACAGCACATATCACTGTTGAACACACTATCCATTTTACTACTTCTTAACTGGCCCTCCCTACCAGAATGTCCACTCCATGAGGGCAATCTGAAACCACACCCCAGGATCACTGGCTGATGCTTCTCTGCCTTTGCTAGATAACTGAGGTCTGACGGGCTCCTTCCACTGCAGGAGAGGCCTGAGGCTGGAGTGAAGGGATCATGAATTAGATTAAACCCGCAGCCCCAGCATACTTCTTCTGAAGTCACAGGGGAATGCACATCAGTCTGTGTGACCTCTGCCCCACGCCTTTTATGTGAAGGTGGTGAAAAGCACATTGAGACGCCAAGGGCAGGTAGCCTGGGAGACTGACAGAAAATGCTGCGCACATGTGGTTTTCATAGTGAAATATACAGCTTGCACCCGAAGCCAAGAACATTTCACAAGCTAAACCCTTCCAAGAGCAAAACAGCACAACTCCCAGGGTGGTTTGGTGGGAAACACCCATGTGGGGGAAAGCCAGAGATGTTTGGGAACTGAGCCTGGGATCTGGAATCCAGGTTTTTCTCGAGTGACCTTTGCTCCCGTCATTCTCCCTCTCCTAGGAGCACGTGCCCACCTGGCTTCAGAACACTCACGTCTACAGCTGGCCCAAGAATAAAAAAAACATCCTGCTGCGGCTGCTCAGAGAGGAAGAGTATGTGGCTCCTCCTCGGGGGCCTCTACCCACCCTTCAGGTGGTACCCTTGTGACAGCGTCCATCCCCAGGTCGCTGGGGCCGTGCCTGTTTGGGGCCCTGTTCTAACAAGCATTATTCTAACTGAGGCTGGTGGGTTGCTCTCATGCCTATTTCTTAATTCCTCCCCGAGGGGTCCCCAGGCCCCCAGAAAACCTGTTCTGCAGAGTGCTCGTCCTCCTGACACCTCTGCATACGCGGGGTTTGCGGTGGACACTGAGGCTGTTCTGCATTCCCTGCTCCTTTGAAACCCACCGCAGGTGCCAATGTCTAACACGTTCCCCCCAGCAGTCCGATGTGTCCATTTGGGGCCTCTTGGGCTTAGCAAGTAGAGACTATAAGTGATGTTGCAACTAATGTAAATACTCGAGACATTCTCCTATCACTCCAGGCTACTTTTATGAGCTAACCAGATGCTTGTGTTTCCTTAGAGCAAACTGATTCATGTACAAATAATAAAATGTTTACTCTTTTTTAAGATTATGTTTCACTTATCTCAGGGGAGATAGATATATATTAATTTATAACGATATGGGCAGTTGTTTCCAGGGACATCAACAAAGCTGCTTAGATATAATATTAGATAAATTTAACAGACTACTCTCTATTAAAGGTTTAAAGCCAGATAGTTAAACAACGCTTTTAACAAAATCATGAAAGCTTTATTGTTGCAGTAGAGATTTTTAACAAAACAACTTTGTACAGCACACAACCATGATTCTAAATGGTATGACCTTAAGAGGTCTGGCTAAATTGGTAAAAATATTTGTGTGTGTCTATGAAGCGACAGGTATAATTCAGGCTAAGACTAAAGGTTGGGAGACCTGTGTTCTAGACTTGGTTCCACTGCTAACTAGCTTTGTAAACTTTAGCAAGTCTCGGCTCGGCGCCTGTGGCTCAACCGGCTAAGGCGCCAGCCACGTACACCTGAGGTGGCGGGTTCGAATCCCCAGCCCGGACCCGCCAAACAACAATGACGGCTGCAACCAAAAAATAGCCGGGCGTTGTGGC